AAAAAGAAGCAAATATATTGTTTAGAGAACTCCTAAGTTCTAAGTAAAAATTAAAAAAAAAATCTGCATCTGACATAAGAAATAGCATAGGACAATCTGCTGCTTATAAAAGGGACATGCCTCAAAATCTCTATATTCTATAAGGTGAAATACAAGCTCTCTGCAGTGACAGTGACTGATTTAGAGGAACAGAAGAAGAATACACATCTGCACGAGTATCTATGGGCTCATTTTCACTCTGACTTATTCTCAACTGGATTTTGACATGTTAGATGAATTTTATTATAAAAGTTGATTTTTTTTTCTTTGGTTTTTCTGTCTGTGGTGAAGTTTAGAAAATCTATTATCTGAAATTTCTTCTTTTCCCAATAAGGACATTTTGAACTTTGTGGATATTAAAAGTTTACAGTGCAGAATAGACTCAAGATCATTGATTTTAAATGGTTCCATATAAATAAAACCAAAATTTGGCTCTCTAGCAGAAAACTATGTTATTGTCATGAATATCTTAAGTGTAATCATTTTTCTTTTAATTAACATTCTAAAGAGAAGAGGAAGTTGGAAATCCAGATAAATCTGTTATGAGTCAATTAAAAAGACAGGATTAGCATATGCAATCAAGATGGGTGCAGCAAGATTTCATGGAAGAGTTCATGAGGAAGCAACTAGGATGCATCATTTGCATGGGCAGCCTCCTTGGTTTGTGTTCTTCTCAACCTCAGTATTGTTGACTTGACTCACTGTATGAATATTGCCGAGCAGTAGCAAACCATGATTTCATTTTCCTACTCTCACTAGTACATCTTACTTAGACGTGCGGTTTTGAAAAAGACAAACCATATAAACTATGGAAAAAGTAGTGCTCTTTTTTTTCCTTTCTGCAAATATTCTTTTTTTTAATAGAATCTCCTCTGTCAAGATGTCATATGTATTAGGGATGGGACACTTCATCCACAGGTCACCTGAGCAAGTGAAACCTTAATCAAGGGGTGACTGATTAGTGAAAGATATAAAAGGACTTAATGAACTCTCACCAAGTACTATCAGATAAGTGCATATATTCTAAAACCAGTGGGAAATTTACAAGAGAATCCTTTTTTCTTTTCTTTTCTTTTCTTTTCTTTTCTTTTCTTTTCTTTTCTTTTCTTTTCTTTTCTTTTCTTTTCTTTTCTTTTCTTTTCTTTTCTTTTCTTTTCTTTTCTTTTTTTTTTCTTTTCTTTTCTTTTCTTTTCTTTTCTTTTCTTTTCTTTTCTTTTTTCTTCTCTTCTCTTCTCTTCTCTTCTCTTCTCTTCTCTTCTCTTCTCTTCTCTTCTCTTCTCTTCTCTTCTCTTCTCTTCTCTTCTCTTCTCTTCTCTTCTCTTCTCTTCTCTTCTCTCTCCTTTCCTTATTCCTTTCCTTTTTGTTTTCCTTTTAATTTTTTTAAATAAATAAAACAAAAACGTGCATGAAGCCTGAATTCTTTAACGTTTTCAAGCCGATTGTTCTGCAGTTGCATCATCATGCATTGCGTTAGAAGTCCACTGTCTTGGTGGGGTATCTGTTTTATAAATAAGCCGAAGAAATGAGACTCCTGGGAGGAAAAGCTAATGTTTTCTTCACTTTGCATTTCCCAGAAATAAGAATTATGCTTTTTAAAACATGATACTCAACAGAACATGTGTCTGTGATCTTAATTGTCCTGAAAAAAGCTGTCTGTGGCACTGCAGAACAATCCATAGCAGAGTTGCTGAAGGACAGTCACTGCTGAACTCATTTCCAAAGTATAGTATGTTTTTGCTTAACTGTATAGATCAAGAGAGTTTGATAAAAACTAAACAATCATTTGTAAATCTCAAGCCTCTGTTACCATGGTTGACAGGAAGCCTTGCACCTACTGCCAATTAAAACAAGCAGTTGTTTTGTAATGACTAGAACAAGAGTATAGAATGTGAAGAAATAAGGAAAACTGCATTTAAGACACCACAGACAAAACTCTGCTAGAAGAAGCTCATGTCTGTTTGTGATGAAGTTCATGCTCTGTAGTAACAATACATTTTGTGTAACACTGCTTTTCCTCATACAGCCCAAGACTTATTCTCCTTACTAGTTCAAAACAATAAGTGATTCCTTCAAATTCAACACAGAAAATTATACTACATCACTGCTAATTCAAAGTTTCTTGAAACAAAAACTGCTTGATTTTTATTTTTTTGTTTTGTTTTGTTTTTTAAATCATTGTGCACAACTGGAACTGATTCAGTGAATATGAAAGATACCACAGTCCTGACGCTGCAGTAAAGACTCCAATCACTATAATCATGTTAATAATAAACACTTATTTTAAGACAGAAACTTCAAAGTATGAAAACAAACACATATTTTGGACTTTCTTACTGAGTCATGCTCCATTATATTTCTCTACATAATAGGTGATCTAAAAGCAAAAAAGAGTTACACTGCACATCAGAAATGCTCTACGTGGACTAAGTTTGTAGAGGGTGTAAATACATTAGAATATATCAATGTATATGAACAAATTAGGAAGGAAGGGTGTGTTTCAGAGACTTTTCAGTGTGTGCTCACTATTAAAATCTGTCTGAGATCTGCTTGGAGAAAGCAACAATTATATTTCTTATTAAAGAATATGCAATTACAGCCTTCTTTACACTTCCTGCTTCCTCCAACAATGAAGACCTGTCTGCGCCAAAGATTATAAAGTCCTGTGCTGTTTCACTAGGTCACCAGACTGAACAGGCCAATCCACTTTCATGGCAATTTATTCCTGATTTTCTCCTGGGCCAACTTCTTTTATGATTAAACTAAGCCTAGCCGGAGATTTACAGCATTGTCACTGAGAGAGTGTTAGTTGCAATGAAATTAAATTGAATACTGATTAAACTTAAACTACAAAAACTTTTGTGAGTTCCCTAGTGTGTTATTCTTGCGTCTACTATCTTTAAAATCTTCTTCAGACACTGAAAAAACAGAGCTTCAAACCTCCTACTTTTTCAGGAAAGTTGTCACAACCATAGGCTGCTGCAAATGCTTTATTTATTAAACCATTATTTTAATTCCTTTTTGTTTATGATATTTGTCTGTCATCAGAAAAAACCAGAAAGACCACAGTTCAGATTTCTCAGGATCATAAATGGTTTGATTAAACTGCAGATGCTAATTAAGACCCAAATCTGTATCTCTATGCATAGCCAGTATAACCAGCTTGTTAGCTAGGGAAAGCCCATGATATTTAGAATATTCCATGTTGTAGGATGCAGATCACAAGTGGGAGGCTTTCAGGACAGCTTTTGTAACCTCCTCTTCAGCTATATCATGCAGGTTTGGGGAAGGAAACACACGTGACAAATTGTCTGAACTGTGCCCATACATCCTGTACGTGTCAAAAGCAACCAGCTATGATGTGGCAGGGTTAATCTGTGCTCTGTGCTGTTGTCATTTTGTCATCATTTTCTCAAAAGTATGTTGCTCCCTGATTTGAGGAGTTTGCAAGTAGACCAAGTGATAAAATGATTTTTTAAATGAGAAATAAGCAACTTTGAATTGCACTGTACTTTTCCGAAAAAAAAAAAAAATTAAAAAAAAAAAAAATTAAAAAGTGTTAGAAGCATACAACTTTTTATTTTAGTTTAGTTAGTTTCCACAAATATATAAACTGAATCTTGTAGCCTAGAGAATTCAAGCCAATATGAGTGTCTTAACTGTTACCATTTCTAATGGGAAACACAGTGAGAGTTTTCATTATAAATTATACTCAGTCCAGCATTTTTTTCTGTGCTGTCCTTTGTGATACAAAATTAAAACGGACCATAAAATCTACTGAGAGAACAGTTACTAACAGGCATTAAGTATTGGTGTTGATAAGGAACCAACTGCTATGAACAAACAGATACTAATTTATATGATTTATGGTGTAATCCAGCAAAGAATTCTGGTGCTACAAAACCTTGGTGTTCCAGCATCCTGTTATTCAAGTCCATGGTCCTGTATCTGATATCTAGAAGCATGTTTCTAAAGTGTTGTGCATACAGAGAGGCTTAGGCAGCCTGGAAAACAGCCAGCACGTTGTGTTTTGAGCCCAACATAAGCTGACTGGCACTAACAGAGAAAAAAACTCAGATTTGTCCCAAATACAAAGTACTGCCTTCCTCTAAAGCCAGGCCTTTACCTGAGGGCTACCTGTAAAGACAGGGCTCTTTACAGGGCTTTACAAACCCAGGGCTGTCTGAAAGATGCCTCCATCCACTCAGAATCTACACCCTGATTCTTTGTATGAAAATAGGTTCCTGTGATCTTTCCTTCAAAACTGATGTTTCATTAAAACATAGCTAGAGGAGAAGCTGGCTTCTCATCTCCCTCTGTATAACAACTCTGTGATTAGAGCAGTCAGAAAATCATGGGATTCATTGCTCTTGCCCTGAAAGGCACACTCCTCTCCCCCAGGGAAAGACTCTGACCATCAGTCTGATGGTTATTTTAGAAAAAGCATTCTTGACCCTTCTACTGAAACAGTGCCCTTGAGGCCCCACAACAAATTCAGGATTCCTTAGATCATAATCTAATGTTTAGGTTATTCTCAGGGTTGGAACCTGAATAAGCTGAATTTTCCTGGGATTATTTCTGTCCACTCTATCTGAAATTGCTGTGGAACATACACACCACCCTCAATTAAAAAATACAGATAAAATAAAAAATATATATATGTTAAAAAAGGGAAGCCCAAGGAGAAGGGGTCAGGTTGTGCCAATGAGGTGATTTGAGAGGAGGAACAAAACATCATAGAGCTGGGGACCAGAGGACTTGGGCATGAGCAGGCCCAGAAGGTAGCCTGGGATTCCCAGATGGAAAAGGATGAATTATGAGGACTAATGTACTGCTCTGAGGTTTAGCAACTGCCTCTGTTTAGCAGAAGTTTTCTGGATTGCACCTCAATTCCACCTGAATTGCACATTTCACTCTATTCAGATTATCCTACAGTCTGAAATATAAATACTGACAGAGACATCTTGAGCTCAATAAAATACTTGTTTATTTATTTGAAAAGACAGAAAGAAAGAAAGAAAGAAACAAAAAAAAACAACTCAACAACAACAACAAAAAAACAAACCAGCAGTTATTGAGGACAGTTAACACTGAAAGCACTGAGTTCTTGCCTTTTCAGCTTAATCCTAGCCAGCACTCAGTTGGCAGATTCTTCCAGGTGTGTCATACCTGCAGTTGGGGATCATCTTGCAAGATTTAGAGCTTTACACTATCTGTGTATCACTAAACTGTCCTGTCTGTAGAAAAACTCAAAAGGAAGAATTGTGCTAAATCCTGTTTTCACTTCACAATATTCCTGAGGTGAAAATACATTTTTGCAGAAGTAACATGCTTATTTTGACAATGTGACTAATGTCTTATTCTGCATGACTGAAACATTAGAGGAAGGCCATACCAAGTAGCTGCGACAAACACTAGACCAAAGACACATTACTTTAAAACTTCCTTTTTTTAGGGCATTTTGTTTTATTATTTGTAAATTCTTTAATTCCCAACAAAAAGATGTACCTCTGAACATCTCTGTGGTGTTTATATTGCCATCTAGATTAGGAAAAGCCCTTACACTGGACTTGTCCGTAATGCAAGGAAAAGAGGTGATTTTCCCTTATTTCTTCTTGTTCCATAAGCCCATTTACTAAGATCTGGTGGCACACTTTGCAATTCCTAGTCAGGTATTCAGAATAGCAACATGTGTATAAGTTAAATATAATTTGTGAAATATATGCCATATTTGATAAAAAAAATGCATGTAGTCAGAATCATATGATGACTTCATTTGCATAGATGTAAAACCTGAATTTATTATACACAACCTATATTTGTAAAAGTAGACAGTCACCTGGCTTCTCTGTACTGGTTTAATCTGGCAGTCCCTCACTAGAGGCAACAGAATTTTTAGAAGCAGCCAAGACAAACCAGACACCAAAGGAAAGGAGAAAATGTGCAGGAAAAATAGTGGCTAGCACAAACATTAATACAACTCCTTCAATCCTTTCCAAAATGAAAGTTTCAGATTGACAGAAGGTGGAGAGGGCAATTAGGCAACAGAGAAGTGAGTCTCACACCACTGACGCATCTGTCACAAGCTGAACTTTTCTGTGAAGCAAAAGTTTTAAGGGGAAATCTACAGGATGCAATTCACTTTTTCAGGTAATCACAAGATCTTCCGCAGCAGATACGTGGAGCGGAAAGTAGTTACCATCTTGAAGACAAGCTGAATGGATTGAGGTACTGTGCAGCATCAGGGCCTAGAAACAAGCACCTCCAGTGAATGGCTGGAAGAAACTGAAGCCAGTCTGCAGAAGGACAGATGAATTTGTTATATTACTAGCATGATATCCTTTGAATGAAGATATGTTTTTGAAGAGACACAGGTAGTGGGATGACACAGGCATAAGTTCAGGAGATTGGTGTCTAATCGAAAGACTGCAGAAATGGCACTGAAAGGGGTGGCTGTGTTCAGAAAAAGTTATCTGAGTCTTTTCCACAGAGCCACCACTGAAATCAGACATCAGATAAAGTTATGATACAGTTGATAATGTCCATTTGCATTTAAAATATGCATAGGACACTCCAGCCTGGTTTTATTTTTTTACTGACATCTTCAACTGCAACCAATTATAGTAATACTGGTTGGAGCACAGTTACTGAAACCAAGTCTTAACATGTCATTAGGCAGCTGGACAGTAATGGGCAGACCTTCCTAGTGAGCAGTCTTCTTACTCTGTTTCAGAGGTAATAGCACTTGAGCACATTACAGAAGTCAGTCTACTGTTCTTGTAGGTTAAGAGGGGAAAAAAACCTCAAATGTTTTCTTTAGTTTCTGATGTGCTTAGCTTAAAACAAAACATGAAGAAAGCAAAAAATCATGACAAATGCTAGGTAGCATGCAACAGTTTTCAGTGTTATAGCTGCACACTATGAGCTGGAAACAAGTCATACTTTATAAGGTTTGTATTTCTTGGGATCAGTGCAAGCATCTGAGCATTATGAGCATTCTGTTGATTACCTGTGATGAATGGCAGAAGATGACCTCTTTTAATCATCGGTCAACATAACTCTTACATATACACACATTTATGTGGTGTTTCTTCTTAATATTGACTATTTCAAGCTCCAGCTAACATCAGATAAGAAGAAAAAAAACACATGTTTATTTGGTTCCAGGATCTATGAGGAAGCTTTTAACCCCACCCTACTCCCTGCCCTACTCCACTCCCCAGCTCTACTTTCTGCTCATGTCTAAACATATTTACATGTCTGAAAGGAACTGAAAAGTATCTGTAATGTTTCCCAGGGGATCTGATAGCTCTTCTCACACAAAACTTATTTCCAAATCATTATGCCATAGTAACATTTTGGTAAGGGGCACCTCAGAAAAGGCTTCCGATGGTTTCACTCTGCAGATTCAACAGTTTCGTCACCTCACCTGAAAGATAAACATTTGAACAGAGATAGTTTCATTAATATTGCCCTTCACTTGAATACGTGATAGATCTGCAGTACATATAAGATAGGTCCTTGGCTAAATATCCTTTTACCACCACTCAAAGTCCATAAAACTCAGGAACATCATGTGGATCTCTAATGCTCCTTCGCAGGCTTTAAATCCACCAAATCATGAGTGAATTATTGTGATTCATATGCCACTTTTATTTTTGGCAGGCAATGTTGATGGTATTGGAGAAAGATTATTTGAGCGAGATCTGCATCCACTTTCCTCAAATCAGGACCCTGAAAAAAACTCAGAAAGGAGCTGTCAGCATAAATGCATACAAATATATGTAAGCACATATTCTGTACAGGTTTTGACGATACAAATCCAGACATGAGGGATGAGCAGGACTTTCTATAGTTCCTGTAGAAGTCTGGGCAAGCAAACATCTGGGAATGGACACTGAGGAAGAGGAAATATCTATGTGTCAGTAATATGAAAGTTATATTGTACACCTGCTTTTTAGACATGCCATCTGCGCTCAGTCATACCATAATATAGCTTTGATGACATGCCACAGCTAAAGGGCCGGCAGAATACTTCTTGCTTCATTGACATGAGTGACACAACTCTGCAAAACTCACTGCTTAATGATATAAATCATAACTCTCATGGTATATGGTTGTCCCACATGTTTTTCAGTGCTTAAAGCCACACTAAGTATTTTGCTGCTGAAAGCACTGAAGGAGAATTACGGTGGAAACTGATGCATACCAGGTAAGCAAGAGCGCCTTATCTATACTAATGCTGAACTTCTCATTATGTTGTGCTGGCCTACAACTACACCGTAACATCCAATGGATATTGTTTACAATAACCTAACAACAAGCAATTCTGTTCCCATTACTGCTCACAATCTCATAGTAAATGCTTCTTGTTTCCACAGTAAGCTGACTGCAACTGAAAGGTACCACCATGCTTTGTCAAAAGTCAAATAAATCTTGTGTTTAGAAAAGGAAACATAATATATATTTAAAAATAAAAAAGCATTCGATTTGACTAGTATACAAAGTCAATGAAAAATATGGTTTATACTACATTCCTTTCTTTAAAAACATTTTCTACAGTGTGCTTCAGAATCTTTAAGAGGAAGCATGGTCTAAATACAGAACTCAGTTCCTGTGCTGGACCTACTCTTAAATCCAAGTGTGGCCTCAGGCAAATGCGTTAATTTTCCTGTTTCAGTTTCCCTGCCTTTAAAGTGGGGATAGAACAACGAACCCAAACAGCTTAGTTGCAATTTATACGAATGACTAACTTGATTATTAGATTTCTGAGACATGAAACACGATTATTATTAGGATTCACTGACCAGCCAGACAGGGGTGTGATACAAATAAAGGAGACGGGTCTTGGACAACAGGAGCATGCTGGTTAGGCAGACTGAAGAGCTCAGCGAGGAGGCAGTGGAATGTTGTGCCTGCAAAAGTGTGAACATTTCCCTTGCACTGACTTTCTATTTATTGCCCCATGGTACCTAGAGACCATGAAAAGCCAACTCTTCTCTGAGAAGCAAATAGGTCCAAAGCATTGCAGCAGACCAGCTGTAGGCAAATAAATTTTTATCTATGTAAGAGAGCTAAATGTTATTTTCCAGTGGAAATGTCAGAATTGATTAAAGCTTGAGCATTTCTATTTAAAATGAGAGCAGTGCTTGATACATTTTAAAGGGAGAAAAAGTGAGAGGCCTGACAGCATGGAGATAATGGGAAGGATTCATCTGTGGGCTTGCTGCAGTAATGTGGTACACAGCACGCCAGGGCCAAATTCACCTCTCCATACATAGCATAAATGGGAGTGCCTTTTAATAACTATGAGAAAATAGTCTCCCTGCTAGCAAAGTCACTATTATTAATTGTTATTATTAACCTTTGGGCTTGTGTATCCTCCACAGATTAATGATTATTCAATAACTGTGCTACAAGGTTGCACTTTCTAACACCAATTAATAGAAGTGCACAGCTAAGAAAAGCATTGAGGTATCGACTCCACAGTCTCTGTCTTGATGCAAAGTTGCCTACAGGAACTGTATCTGCCAATTCCCAGAGCAGGAAGAGGAAATATGCCTCAAAGTCAAAATAAAAGAAAAAAGAAAAAAAAAAGAAAAGAAAAAAAAAGAAAAAAAAAAAGATGGAGCTGACATCCATGGTCCCCTCTCTTCTCAATAGGCAATAAGCAGCAGCCTCAGCTTTCAGGGAAAGCTGCACTCATTGCCAGCGTTCACTTTCCAGGAACTCCACATCCAAATTGTGCAGTGGCAAAGATGGGAAAGAAGGGCTTAAAAAAAAAAAAACAAAAGAAAAAAGTCCCTCTCCACGGAGAAGTTCCACGAATAAAGACAATTCTCAAACAGCGCTGTTGAGGAGCACATGGTGCCAGGTGACACAGCAGCCGAGACCGGGGTGTGGGGCTGATGCGCAGCTCCCGACAACGCGCGGCGCGGCGGAACCCGACGGGGTGGCCACCCCGGAGGCTGCGTGCCCTTATCCCGCAAGGCCCCGTCCCGGGAGGTCGCCACCGCGTTTCGGAGGTCGCTGCCCGGCAGGGGTTGCGAGGGGCAGCGGCGGGGAGCGGGCATGGAAATAAATAAAGGAGCGAGGGAAGGATGAAGGCAAAGGAGGAAAGCGGGGAAGGGGCAGGGAGTGCAGAGACAGAGGGGGGGGCCTGCGTGAGAGCGTGTGTGTGTGTGTCCCACCTGACTCCCCGTTCGGCGGGGGGGCACACACACACATACACACACACACATACACACACACATGCACACACACATGCACACATACATGCACAAACACATACACACACACGCGCGCGCGCAGCCGCCGCGCTCCAGCTGCCGCCGCTTGGTCCCCGCACTTCTTCTCATTGCTGCCCCCCCGCCGCGGCACGCAGTAGGGAAGCGTAAAGCGCGGAGCCCCGCGGTCGCGCTGTGCCCGCCGCCCCTCCGCCCCCCCGGGGCAGCGCGCCCGTCCCCGCCCGGAGGGGCCGTGCGAGGCGGCGGCGGGGGTGGGGGGGGGGCCGCGGGCACACGCGCAGCGATCCACGCACATGCACGGGCAGGACTGCCCCGCGCTGGTACCTGGTGCTGCCCTGGTGCGTTCCGGCCGGGCTCCTCCTGCCGAGGCAGCGCGGGAGCGGCCGTGCGTGTGCGTCTGTGCGCGTGTGTCTGTGTGCGCGTCTGTGCGCGTCTGTGTGTGTGTGTGTGCGTGTGTGTGTGTGTGTGTGTGTGTGTGTGCGAGAGCGAGCGAGAGCGAGAGAGGCTCTCCCCCCTCCCCCTCCTCCTCCTCGTTCTCCTTCCTTTAAACGCCCACTCCTGATGGGTGAAAAGACAACTTGAACTTCAGTGCAATTAACTTCGCCGGCGCCTCGGAAGCTGGAGGTGTCGCCGGCCTCGCCCGCCGCGCTCCCATGAGTGAGTCGCTCCCGCTCCTTCGGCGTCGCTCTTCGGGGACGGGGGGACGGGGGCAGCCGCAGCGGGTCCTGAAGGGGCGGGGGCCGGGCGGGGGGGCGCGGGCCGGGGGGGCTTCGTGCGGCGGCGCAGCCTCCCGCAGCGGGACGCACACCTGCCGCCGCGCCGCTCCCGGCCACCGGCCCCGCTCTGCGCGCCGGCCCGCCGCCTCCGTCACGGGAGGGGGGAGCGGGGATGGGGCAGATGGAAGAAAAGGAAAAACCCGAAAAGTTTGGCAAAGTTTTTCCGCTGCCCAGCGCGCTTCTCTGCCGCTGGAAGCGGAGCCGGTGGCAGCCTCGACGGCTCGCGGTCCGGGATGGGTTGAGGACTTCCGGGGGCGCGGAGGGTGCGCGGGCGGCTGCGGGGAGCCGAGCCCCGAGTTGAGCGGCGGAGGGACCGTCCGGAAAGCGTTCCCCCTTGCCTACCCGTGGCACGACCCGGCGCTGCTGCTGCCGCGGGGAACGGTGCCAACAGTTCTTCGCTACGCTCAGGGATTTTATTTTCATTTTTATTTATTTATTTATTTTTTCCGTTTCCGAACCCGGCAGCCGAGGTTTGGCTCACATCGGCGCGCTTTGGTCGCTGTTTGCGCTCACTGCCTGGGAAGCGCTCCCGACAGGCACCTGCCCGGCTCGGAGTTTCCCTGTGCCGGGTTGCGGGCTTCTCACTCCTGGAGAAACTTCGCTAAAATGCAAGTTTGCTGAAATACTTTGCACCAGCTCCAAAGCCGAAACGAGTTGCAAATGACGAAAGCTTTCTACTGGCTTTAGTCAGTCCAACTGAGCACCGTGCTTCTGTGCACAGAATTCCCAAATTCAGGATGCAGATGCTGAAAGCGTGTGGTCAGGCAGCACCCTGCCCTGTCCCCCTGCTCCCTGCCACCTGGGCAGCAGCAGCCCTTTACTTCTACTTCCAATTATTTCAGCACAGTGCATTCGTATATTTGTCTGCTGTAGTCTGCTGGCAAACATTAGCATTCAAGCTTACATTTTTGACAAATGTGCAGACAGGAATAGCATGAATAGGCATCTTAAATATTAACAACCTAAGCATCTGTTGTAAAACAAGTTTAATATATTTACTCTGTTTTTCTCACATTGTTAGGAAAGGTTACAATAAGTGTAAAATTTCAGCGGTAGTTAGCACAAGGAGTGCTTGGATCTTTCACTATCTCCTCAAGCATTCAACACAATCACCAGATAGAAATGTGGCAAATCAGGCACACTATTCAAAGCCAACTTAAAACAGTAACCGTAGAGTATAAGGATGTGAATATAGGATGTTCTTTGTTGCTTGCACCTTCCTCTTAGTCTGCAGCACTATCTGTAGAATTGTAGAGTGCTCTCGTATTCCTATATGCTCTGTAATACATTTGTACATCCACTCATTTTCTAATTCGTTCTCTATTTGAGATTGTTATTGGCACTGCCTCACTTTCCAAGTCAAAGCAATGGTTTGCGCAGCAATAACACAGAGCAGGTAGCAAAATGAGCAAGCAGAAATGTAACGTGTTAACGCATAGGCATGCATCTGAACAAACAGCACGCACACATCATGAGGCAGTGGAAGAAAAATTAAGATCATGGGCTGGTGTGTTGTGCGTGCCCACTCTTGAATACAAACAGCTAGTGGAAAAGCTACAACCTACTCCCAGGAATTCCTTCATCCCTGGAGTAACATTGTTCGGAGTAGAACAAGGGCACAGCATAGCGAAGTCTCCAAGCAGAGTGTAGAGTTATTTCAGGAATCAGTGCATTCCTTCCCTTTTTCCCACAAGTTCAAATATGTAATAAATAAGTCCTTTGTATGCAAAAGAGTTTACTGGAACAAAAAATATTTAAATGGAATGCTTTTTGTGCGTACACTTTGTAAAATGAGCTGTTTCCTTTTTATATTCTTTGTTGCTAACACTTTAAATAGGAAAGTGGCTGTCTCGGTTTCTCCTCTCCTGTTATTTCAGCAGCACGCACCAACCCTAACCTGCTGCACTCTCCCAGAAAGCGCTGCAAAGCCAAGCCAACCCGTAACTCACAAATGGGACACGCTGCTCTGCCAGATAGAGGCTGTGCCACATGAGCCCAGAGCTGTGTGTGAGCAGAGCATCTCTCATTGCGCAGCGTAGGCCCTGTGGGGCAGCTGATGAGCATTTGCCCTCTGTGGCTGCGCTTCACAGCCAAGAGCGGCCCTGCCACTGCCCGGTAGCACCACAGCCTCCGTCCTGTGGGACCACTGGCACGTCCGTCCCAGCCCTCAACCTGAAAACCTCGTAACAGTGGGAAATTCCTGAGCGAGCACTGACTCATCTTACATTTCAGGTTTGGGGGATAAAGGGGTTCATATGCGTGCGGTTGCAGTTGAGGAGATGCTGGTTGAAGTCTGGTGTTCTTTGGAAGTGATGGCACCTTTTTATTGTCATCTATTTTTTAGTCATTTTTAAATCATTGTCAGAAAAATTTGTAAGGTTTCAAGTTGTACTTTGGAGGAAAAAAATCAAGGAGATTATTTTATTAATAAAATAGATTATCTTATATAGAAAAAAATATATTAGAGATATATATAAAAAGTAGATTTCTGAATTAAAAATGGAAGGAATGTGACTTCTAAAATGTTAGCCGCATTTCTAGGAACTAAGCTATTTTAGCATAGACACTACTGAAGCATTTTATTGCCTTCTCGTACATAACTGCCATTGCTCTCTCTAGATATATTTAATATATATCCAATGAAGCCACAAACTTTCCTTTCACAACAGTTTAAACACATCTGGAACATTTTACTTTCTTATAATTTATGTTAATAGATGTAGAGTGTATATACAATCTTCTCAGAAATCATTGCTTTTTCCAAAGGGGAATTTTTTTACTTTCAGTCGGGGAATATATTTGTAAGAACAAAATAACTCAAAGTATGGGCAATTCTATATATCATTTTATTTTCTGTTATATTAGCTTGATTATATAAAGCTTTCATTTAGAGCAATGGGATGATGAAATTACACAGGAGTGATTGGCTTTTGTTTTTTCAAATGGTTCAAGTTGAGGGCTGCAAAAATGAATGTTTTTGGTTAAGTTTGTTGGGTATGTAATATTTTTCATAGAATTTTGACTAATTTAATAGAAAAGCCACAAGCCTCTTAGCACGAAATGCTATATTTCCAGGTAAAATGGGAGTTCTGCTTTTGCCATTATAGGCATCAGGCTTCAGTAATCTGCTCCTCTTGTGGAATGAACACTTTCTACTTAAAGCTATCATGCACCTACTGTTTATTTACGCTGCATTAAACTGACAGCACAGCAATCAGAGGAAAAATACGACTTACTTTCCTGAAGTAAACACCGGTTTATAGGTTAGTGCATGTATTTATATTCCTGTCGCCACTAAATAATGGCTGTCTCCGTTTTAATATCTACCTGTGGTGCTATCCATGGCAGCTGGCTCTTCCTTGTCTGAAACGGAGGAAAAAGAAAAGGAGGACAGGGGAAGAAAAGAAAGTTTTCTAATCATTCCTTGGGGACTATGTAGAAAAATGATTCAGTATTCCTTTCTGTGGCATTCAGAAGCCAGTTTTAAAGACACAGTATTCAGTTTTGCTGGGTGTATTTGAATTGCATCTCAAACAGTGAAAACAGAATTCCTTAACAGTGTTTGTCTATCCAAGTCACTGAAATTGTATATTCAGGCAACAGCAGATTAAGGGCAGAAGCATTTTATTAATAACTGAAAGCACATATGTGTGTGTGATGAAAAATGTTCTGCAAATCTGTCACTATGCAATCAAGTGCATTTTTTAAACTTTGGTTGTCACAAAGTTGCTACTGATTCTAAAAAAAAAAAAAAAAAAAAAAAAAAAAGTATATCAGTTTGATGGATAAAAAGTAACTTACAGTTCTTATTACTTATTATATTGAAATACTGCGATTTTATAAAGTCCATGTCAGTAAACACCATTGGTATTGCTTCTCATCTTGATCTAGAGACCTAAGTATCTTTAGCTGAAGTTAACTGCAGGGAGAGTAACTCTCAGTTTATAGAAGGCATCCCTAAATTTTCCATCAGAATGTTCCATTATTAGTCTCTACCCAAGATGTCCATTTTTTTTTTTTTCCAAAGAGTCTGAAAATTATTATATTAAACACTAAGTTATTTTGTATGTCACGTCTCTTCTGAGTGGTACTGCTATCACAAACTCAATAGCACCTGACCACAATTTGTAGTTCATACTTCAAAAAGGATGTGCTGTAATGATCCCCGCTGAAATGTGGGTGTTTTCTAATGCTTGCCATCCTGTGGCATCTCAGCTTACCACAGTTATCACCAACACTTTGTTACTTAATTGATATCTATTTGCTGTTTTGCAAATGTTGACTTTCTAATGGCTCCTGTACTGCATGCTCTCAATAAGTATAAATTTAGAGATTCATTTCACAGGGAATTGCCAGTCCTGACATTGCTCATTGCTCTGATCTGGTTCTTGTGCTTTATACCAGCTGTAATCTGTGTAATATAGTAGGAGTAGCATAGCAGTAGTGGAGTACGG